CCAGGATCAGGAAACAGTCCTCCATAAAATGTGCTGCACACATCTGAATATTTGGGTTGAACTGTTCTGGAATAGTGTTGTAAATACAACTTAACCTCTGATTTCTAGTCGTGTCCTCTTTTGGAAGGAACAAAACACACAGCGTCACACACGGCGGGCTAGAGTGAGCAGCGGCCGGTGGGCTTGAGAACAGCGCAGCCGTCGGATTCGACAAAGGAGCGTCCAGCAGGCTTGCGGCAACCACATGTGACGTCCCCGGGCTGGACTCCACTTCGTCCACAGTGAAAGCCGATCCGGCGATCCACAGCATGAAGTTGAAGTATTTCCTCAGCGACCAGCACGGATCAGCTCCAGGCATGACGAAGCGGACATCGTCCTCTTTTGGAAGGCCAAACAAAGTAGTTTCGTTTCACAACGAAACACACAGCATCTTCACGCCATGACGACAGCAACAATACTACAGCGAGAATAAAAGTTACACCTTCTTTCTTTGCGTGAACATTTGGGCGACGCTATGCAAATCTTCCCACATCGTGACGTAGACGTGGGGGCATGTTAGAATTAGGCGTGGTTGACTCTTAACTTTTATAAAGAATATCTCTTTGGATTTGAGACTTTAGTCTTTGCAACTTTACAGATCTTCTCTATGCACCAAGAGCTTGTAACACTCCAAAGAGAAAGGAAAAATTTAAATCGCATCATATGACCCCTTTAAAAAAACAAAACAAAAAACAAGTGTGGTGAAGCACAACTGAAGTCATACAAAATGCATATCCACATTTTGAGCACATTCTACTATAGTATAAGATTATTCATGTCCACTGCTGAATCAAATTCTCCATCTGATTTTCTGCACTGGTTTAAAACACTTATTTGCCTGGGGCCAGGCCTGTGTCTCTGAAAAAGCAATTGAAAAATGCAAAAACACACTGGAAAAAAACAGCAGTGGAAAGCAGCCTGATTTAGAGGACAACACTGATGTTGTGGCTGAAAAGAGCTATAATGTGTCTTAGGGTAAAGCTGTAGAGAGATCTATGAAACTTGAGCATCATCACTCAATAGCCAAATTCATTATGCAATCAACTGATTGTTTCTGGAACAACTGGGATTAATGCTGGAATTTAATTGAATAAAATTCTGGGACAAGAGTGGAAAAAGAAGGGAGAAAAAAAAATTGTCGGACCAAGGTAAACACAGAGGGGTAAACAAATTCACTAATCCTTCATGCCACATTTGTGCAATGTATTTCAGTGTAAAAACACCCGTAATCCATCTTAAGTAGGCGCTAAATGCACTGGAACAGCACTGTGCTAAACTCTTGTCATTCCTTTCAGTGTAAACACGCCTCATTTGAAGCAAATTAAGCTTATTAAAGTAATAGACTGATGCTGTACAGTCCCTGTAAAGTATACCAGATTGCAGCAATCTGCTGCATCCTTTAAAAAGCAAGCAATCAGAACCAGCCTGCAAGATGGCATTTTCTCCTCACCAAGTGCTCAGCACACTTTCTTTTTTATTGTTACCATGTTTGCACTGTTACCTGATATAATTTCAATAGTGAAATAAGTATTATCTGCAAGTGTAATTCACTTGTAATACCCCCAGGGACTGCTCTCAAACTCATACCTTCTCTGTCTTCTTGTCCTGCTTGACCAGGATGGAGAGGTTGTCCTTCAGGGTCTTCACAATTTCTGTGGGGTTCTTGTGAGGTTTACCAAATAGTGGCATGGTAGCGGCCGTAGACTTTAGAACCTGGTGTAAATTTAAAAAAGAAAAGAAAAGGACACGGTTCAATAGGGCTGCATGATTATGACAAAAATCATAATTGTTGATTATTCCCTTGAAATTGTAATTGCAATGATTAATTATGATTATCATAATTTACACTGAATGATGTTTATATAATTTTTTGAAGCAACTGCATGCCATATTTTATATGAAAATAAACAAGCTGAAAACACTCTAACTGAAAACCTTTTATTGCTTTTCTATAGTATTAAGCCTCAAATGTCAACTATACATTGGATTGGTTTCTTCTTTAAATACAAAAAGTAAAAATATGCATGGCATTATAATGTTATACTAAAAATAAAATTAAAACAATGGAAAAACCCTTAAGATAACCTGTAGAAAGAAAAAACACATCTTAAGCACGCAGAATAACATAAGTGGACTTTGAACGATTCCTTGCCGTTTTGAACGATTACGTAATTGTGGCATCCGTAATTGTAATCGCGATTAGAAATTCGATTAATTGTGCAGCCCTACGGGTCAATGGCTTTGATTGCCCTCTTCAATTCTGACAGCAAAAAACTGAGACAAAAGACGACGGGCCTGTACCTAGGGCTGTCACGATTATGAAATTTGGTTGACGATTAATTGTCTAAAAAACAGTCACGGTTATTGCGATTAATTGTCTGTTTTAGGGCTTTGCCGATTATCACGATTAATTGTCCGTTTCTTATGGCTTTCATTATATAATTGTGATTAATTCAAGGGTTCAGTAAATAATTATCTTTTAATCTTTTTTGAGTTATTATTTTGCAGTGTAAGATTACATAGAGTATTCTAAATTCTAAGAATCGGCCAATACCGATCCAACACCAGTGCTATTTTTTTTTCTACACCACTACAGAATATCAATACTGTGTTTGTGGAACTAATGGTCACTCTTTTTTTAAACAATCCACTAAATACTCACTTCCTCATTACAGAGAAAAACTACATTTGAATAAAAATATATAAGCTATGAAATTAAACTAGGTGACTGTTTAATTTAGTAGCAAAAAACAATATCTTGAAAAATAATATCTGGTGCACATTATACAATTGAAACATGTTTATTCTGTTAACTATTTGTATTCTTACAAAATACATTCATGAAAATAAGATAGAAATCATGAGAAAAATTAAATTGTGTGCGGCACAAAGCTCTTAAGCACATCTAGGGTGCAGAATGATGCGCATAAGTCACAGCGCGCTGCACTCCACACGGTACAAAGAGAAGAGAAATGAGAGAGCAATGAACCCCAGCAAGATGTAATTTTATGCGAATCCCCAGACCTTTATCTACACATCAAGTATTATAATGGGAATATATCATCTTGGAGAGAGAGTTGTACCGTGCTGACTGTCACAACTGAACGTGACATGCTATTTGAATGCTGAGCGGAGTAGGGATGCACGATATATCGGCCACCATATCGGTATCGGCCGATAAATGCCCATTTTTCCTGTTATCGGTATCGGCCTGATAAGAAAATTTGGCCGATATCTTAAAGCCGATAAATAATCGTTTGCAGCCTTTTGTGCAATTGTACGTTGTAATATTGTGTTTATTTGATGTATATCTGATTTATCTCATATAGAATGCGTTTGGTTAAGTTAAAAAGAGCGCTTCAGTTTACCGGTGATCATCTTTAGCTCAGCGCACGCAGCTCAAACAGCAGTGCACAACATTAATAACTATGATTGGGATTTGTAAGACTTTGACTAAATTTGGTAATGGGAGAGTAAAAATATTTTTAAAACGTACACCGTTCAAACTAGGCTGCTTATGTTGAAGTGTTTGGGATGTGGCTTTTAATGATGAGACCTTTTTTGTAATCAGGCTCTCAAAAAGTATATAACAATTTGGATATAGATTTATCGGCCAACATATCGGTTATCGGCTTTCAAAAATAAAGAGTAATCGGTTATCGGTATCGGCCAAAATTTTCATATCGGTGCATCCCTAGAGCGGAGAATAACTGACAGCTGAAGCAGAAGGAAGATCAATTTCTGTCAACTTAAATTTAACAATGTAAATATAATTCTGTCCCTCACATTAAGATATGGAATGGCTTCAGATGATATAGGCTATACGGTGCATGAAATCCAAACTGGTGCTCTTCTGTTTCTTTTGGTGTATGACTCCCCCTTGTGCTGTATAAAAAGCACAATAATTGTGGTTGTCTGAAACAACCGCAGTTAGATCAAATAAATAATCGTGGTTATTTAATTATTGTGACAGGCCTATCTGTACCATGATGTTAGTTGAACAAATTCAGAGTTACATGATTAGTTGAGTACACAAAACCAAACCTATCCGGCTTAGTTGGTACCATGATGCTGATTATCAACTTTCTTTGTCAACTCAGGCTTTGATCCAGAGTTTGTGGAGCGCGTGAACATGAATGTGACATCAGTGGTGAAGAGCCAATCACATGCCTATGCAACACAGAGTAAGTGTGAATCACTTCTCGCAAGAGATCCAGCGAGATTCAAAACTCTTTTGCGAAAGGTTAAGAGATTGAAGAATATGAGGAATTTAAATGCATTTACATGTGAATTTGCATGTACATTGTCCATGAAAGAGGACAAATCAAATAAATTATCTTGCTCTATCTGTGCAGTCACAAATGAAACTTGTGAAGTTAGTTTATATAGTTGATGATAAATAGCAATACTCGTGCAGTCATTTTTAAAGCGTTATCTATTGATTCTACTGCTTATTTATATTACATATGATCTCAATATATTAATATTCATTTTAAATAAATTATTTATAATAATTGTTCAACTAAAATTGCTTGTGTGTAATGGATTAATCATAATATATAAATCATATAAAATAATTCTAAGTAATTATTAAAGCTAGACAATTTATATATATATATATATTTTTTTTACTATATAGTGACCTTTAATTTGGAGGAAGAGAAACTGGGGGAGTGACTTTTTTGCATCAGACATGTGTCACTTTGCTCACATCTGATTGGTCCAATTTCAGTTTGAGATCTCTTATCCAGAACAAAACCTGCCCTGGAGCAGGTTAGCTGTGGAGTGTAAGTTACTATGGCAATGAACGCCGCTAAAAGCCAAGCCACTTAACATGGTACCTAAAACCCAGGATTGGTGATAACTAAACTGAAACTTACCTGGCTAACCAGCTAATCCAGCTTCATGGTACAGGCCCAACTGCTACTCAAGTTTAAAGGAGGTAATTGCCTGGAATATTTAACTGGGAAATATTCTATGGATCAAACACAGCACAAATACATACTTGACTGAATATATGTTTCTAATGATCTTCAAAACCTTTTGATCTAAAGTGTGTTTACAAGCCTGAAATCAGCCAAGTACAAACAGTGCCTACTTATGAATTTCTTTTAAAAACAAAAATTATGTAAAACTTTTGATGACTATTATTCGATTAATATTATTATTTTTCAAAAAAGTGGTCAAGTCACAAAAAATAGTAAATAACAGCACAAACATTCCATTAAAATTTGTGCTATTTTATTATTTATACACCATTGTAATAATTTTCCAGCTTTTTTCATTTTAATCTTAATTGCCCAGCCAGAGCCCTGACTTAAACCCCATTGAGCATCTCTGGAGAGACCTAAAAATGGCTGTCCACCAACGTTTACCATCCAACCTGACAGAACTGGAGAGGATCTGCAAGGAGGAATGGCAGAGGATCCCCAAATCCAGGTGTGAAAAACTTGTTGCATCTTTTTCTTTTTTAATAAATCTGCAAAAATGTCAACAATTCTGTGTTTTTCTGTCAATATGGGGTGCTGTGTGTACATTAATGAGGGAAAAAATTAACTTAAATGATTTTAGCAAATGGCTGCAATATAACAGAGTGAAAAATTTAAGGGGATCTGAATACTTTCCGTACCCACTGTATATTTTTTTTACTTCCACTTGAAATAACTCATTTTGTTCCAGCCTAAAATAACTATTTAAATTCAATTATTCTCAATTTGATTAAATAAAATCTGTTCGTAAACAAAGCCATTTTGACAGGGTTGACATCAGAATGAAATGTCAGAGGAAATGTTAAACCACATAATAGGGGGAATATTCGATGTTTTTCCAAGAGAACCTAGTGAGACTTGTGACTGGTAATCATGTGATCTAAGAACCTAAGCAGTGTGTGTGTGTGTGTGTGTGTGAGAGAGAGAGAGAGTCCTAAAGTCCACTGCTCCCGTTGGAAATTTCCTGTTACTCCACCTGTCAGCAGCTGCTCTTTGATCAGATTCCCTTCATATTAGAGCTGCGTTTACTCAACTTACAGTCGTGGTCAGAATTATTGGCACCCTTTGTAAATATGATCAAAGAAGGCTGTGAAAAAAAAATCTGCATTGTTAATCATTTAGATCTTTTATTTTTAAAATTCACATAAATCTAACCTTTCATAGGAGAATAAGAATTTAAAATGGGGGAAAATATCATTATGAGATAAATGTTTTTCTCTAATACACATTGGACACAATTAATGGCACCCTTTTATTCAATGCTTTTTGAAACCTCCCTTTGGCATAATAACAGCTCTGAGTTTTCTCCTATAATGCCTGATGAGGTTAGAGAGCACCTGACAAGAGATCAGAGACAATTCCTTCATCAAGAATCTCTCCAGACCCTTCAGATTCCCAGCTCCATGATGGTGCTTCTCCTCTTCAGTTCACCACTCATTTTCTATAGGGTTCAGGTCAGAGGACTGGAATGCCCATAGCAGAAGCTTGGTTTTGTGCCCAGTGACCCATTTTTGTGTTGTTTTTAAGGTTTGTTTTTGGATTATTGTCCGGTTGGAAGATCCAAACATGGCCATTATAAGATTTCTAACAGAGTCAGTCACTTTTCGATTTTTTATCTGTTGGTATTTGATAGAATCAAAGACGCCATGTATCTAAACAAGATGTCCAGGACCTCCAGCAGAAATATAGGCCCACAACATTAAAAATACAGCAGTATATTTCATT